GTCACAAAACTGCGAGATCAAATATGTGAGGTTAGGAATAGGTGAGAGTAGGACCTTCGGCTAAGGTGTGTTATTTATTTTTTTTTTTTTTACATGAAACACGGACAGTTAGGGCAATAAGGACAACCAGCATGTATATTTGCTGTTTTGCTCAATGGTAATTGCGAAGTGGATCACTACTGCTTTCAGAATCCATCGTCTGGGCGTGTCGTTATCGTGATGTGACGGACAACTCATGCCATGTTGCCTTCTATCCCTCCTGCAGACATGTATTTCTTCCTGCAGACTCGTCTCGGCTGGTCTCCTAGACATACAATTAATCATATATACCGCAAGATATGCTGTATATTCCTGCGGTGGAAGTGGTTCATGGTTTAGGGTTTCTGATGATTTCTTTCAATGTTTTGGTGGTAAGGAGACAGCTGCATCCATGTTCGTTTTTCGGATAATCTATGGCTTCTATGCTATATACATGGGCATGGTTCGAGTCCTGGTCCATTATTCTGCTCCCTCTCTCTCTCTCTCTCTCTCTCTCTCTCTCTCTCTCTCTCTCTCTCTCTCTCTCTCTCTCTCTCTCTCTCTCTTCTCTCTCTCTCTCTCTCTCTCTCTCTCTCTCTCTCTCTTCTCTCTCTCTCTTATATATATATATATATATATATATATATGTATATATATACCAATGTACTGTTCATCATTCTTATATTTCTTTATAAGGAAGCGCTAACCAGTAAGGGTCATACAGCTCTTAGAGTGGAGGATGGTAATCAGGTCTGATCCGAGGAAGAGGAGGGCAACACTAGTTACTTTAAGTAGAAACCAGCGTCAACACACTCCACCAGCGTCAACACACACTCCACCAGCGTCAACACACTCCACCAACGTCAACACACACTCCACCAACGTCAACACACACTCCACCAGCGTCAACACACACTCCACCAGCGTCAACACACACTCCACCAGCGTCAACACACACTCCACCAGCGTCAACACACTCCACCAGCGTCAACACACACTCCACCAGCGTCAACACACACTCCACCAGCGTCAACACACACTCCGCCAGCGTCAACACACACTCCACCAACGTCAACACACACTCCACCAACGTCAACACACACTCCACCAGCGTCAACACACACTCCACCAGCGTCAACACACACTCCACCAGCGTCAACACACACTCCACCAGCGTCAACACACACTCCACCAGCGTCAACACACACTCCACCAGCGTCAACACACACTCTACCAGCATCAACACACACTCCACCAGCATCAACACACATTCCACCAGCGTCAACACACACTCCACCAGCGTCAACACACACTCTACCAGCGTCAACACACACTTCACCAACGTCAACACACACTCCACCAGCGTCAACACACACTCCACCAGCGTCAACACACACTCCACCAGCATCAACACACACTCCACCAGCGTCAACACACACTCCACCAGCGTCAACACACACACTCTACCAGCGTCAACACACACTTCACCAACGTCAACACACACTCCACCAGCGTCAACACACACTCCACCAACGTCAACACACACACTCCACCAGCGTCAACACACACTCCACCAACGTCAACACACACTCCACCAGCGTCAACACACACTCCACCAACGTCAACACACACTCCACCAGCGTCAAAACACACTCCACCAGCGTTAACACACACTCCACCAGCGTCAACACACACTCCACCAGCGTCATCACACTCCATCAGCGCCATCACACTCCACCAGCGTCAACACACTCCACCAGCGTCAACACACTCCACCAGCGTCAACACACTCCACCAGCATCAACACACTCCACCAGCGTCAACACACTCCACCAGCGTCAACACACACTCCACCAGCGTCAACACGCTCCACCAGCATCAACACACATTCCACCAACGTCAACACACTCCACTAGCGTCAACACACTCCACCAGCGTCAACACACTCCACCAGCATCAACACACTCCACCAACGTCAACACACTCCACCAGCGTCATCACACTCCACCAGCGTCAACACACTCCACCAGCGTCATCACACTCCATCAGCGCCATCACACTCCACCAGCGTCAACACACTCCACCAGCGTCAACACACTCCACCAGCATCAACACACTCCACCAACGTCAACACACTCCACCAGCGTCATCACACTCCACCAGCGTCAACACACTCCACCAGCGTCATCACACTCCACCAGCGTCAACACACTCCACCAGCGTCAACACACTCCACCAACGTCAACACACTCCACCAGCGTCATCACACTCCACCAGCGTCAACACACTCCACCAGCGTCATCACACTCCACCAGCGTCAACACACTCCACCAGCGTCATCACACTCCACCAGCGTCAACGCACTCCACCAGCGTCATCACACTCCACCAGCGTCAACACACTCCACCAGCGTCATCACACTCCACCAGCGTCAACACACTGCACCAGCGTCAACACACTGCACCAGCGTCATCACACTCCACCAGCGTCAACACACTCCACCAGCGTCATCACACTCCACCAGCGTCAATACACTGCACCAGCATCATCACACTCCACCAGCGTCAACACACTCCACCAGCGTCATCACACTCCACCAGCGTCAACACACTCCACCAGCGTCATCACACTCCACCAGCGTCAACGCACTCCACCAGCGTCAACACACTCCACCAGCGTCATCACACTCCACCAGCGTCAACACACTCCACCAGCGTCAACACACTCCACCAGCGTCAACACACTCCACCAGCGTCAACACACTCCACCAGCGTCAACACACTCCGCCAGCGTCAACACACTCCACCAGCGTCAACACACTCCACCAGCGTCAACACACTCCACCAGCGTCAACACACTCCACCAGCGTCAACACACTCCACCAGCGTCAACACACTCCACCAACGTCAACACACTCCACCAGCGTCAACACACTCTACCAGCGTCAACACACTCCACTAGCATCAACACACTCCACCAACGTCAACACACTCCACCAGCGTCAACACACTCCACCAGCGTCATCACACTCCACCAGCGTCATCACACTCCACCAGCGTCAACACACTGCACCAGCGTCATCACACTCCACCAGCGTCAACACACTCCACCAGCGTCATCACACTCCACCAGCGTCAACACACTCCACCAGCGTCAACACACTCCACCAACGTCAACACACTCCACCAGCGTAAACACACTCTACCAGCGTCAACACACTCCACTAGCATCAACACACTCCACCAACGTCAACACACTCCACCAGCGTCAACACACTCCACCAGCGTCATCACACTCCACCAGCGTCATCACACTCCACCAGCGTCAACACACTGCACCAGCGTCATCACACTCCACCAGCGTCAACACACTCCACCAGCGTCATCACACTCCACCAGCGTCAACACACTCCACCAGCGTCAACACACTCCACCAACGTCAACACACTCCACCAGCGTCAACACACACTACCAGCGTCAACACACTCCACTAGCATCAACACACTCCACCAACGTCAACACACTCCACCAGCGTCAACACACTCCACCAGCGTCAACACACTCCACCAACGTCAACACACTCCACCAGCGTCAACACACTCTACCAGCGTCAACACACTCCACTAGCATCAACACACTCCACCAACGTCAACACACTCCACCAGCGTCAACACACTCCACCAGCGTCAACACACTCCACCAGCATCAACACACTCCACCAGCGTCAACACACTCCACCAGCGTCATCACACTCCACCAGCGTCAACACACTCCACCAGCGTCAACACACTCCACCAGCGTCATCACACTCCACCAGCGTCAACACACTCCACCAGCGTCAACACACTCCACCTGAAGGATTCCAAAGAATCAGAATAGACAACTAACAACTTGTAACCCTTCCCTCATAACTTGTACCGTCCCCCATCACTTATCAGAGATTCTTCTGTATTCGCTTATTGTCCCTTTCCGCTTCAGTTATCATAAAGCATTTTGTATTCACCTATTATTCCCTTGTGTCTGCTTCCCTGTCCGTATAACCAGCCGTCCTCCCGCCTGGGTCTATGACGTAAATAAACTCCTTCACACACACTCTCTGTCTTCATCACTCTCCTCCTCTTCCTCCTCCTCTTCTTCTTCCTCCTCCTCTCCCATCATCCTCTTCCCCCGTCTGTTTCTGTAGAGAGATGTTTATATGTTTTATATGCATAAAAATAAAAAAAAATCCTCATTTTTTCAAGAGATTATGAGTAGAGAGATACGGAATAAATCTTGGTAATGAGCTTCGACAAGTGATCCCATGGCTGAAAGGTTTTCAAAATGTGTTTATTCACGTAGAAAGATAGTTTGGAGATAAGGATGAAAAAGAGCGGGAATAAAGATACTTCAGTTGTTGCACGTGTCTTATCTACTTGTCTGTATTGTATACCAATATTATGTTAATACGTTTTCAAAGTTCAGCGTGTCCCGTCATCAAATTTCAGGTCGTCGTGTCTTCAGCGTTCAGATGTCTCTTCTAAGTTCAGCTTGTCGAGTCCTCAAAGTTTGGCAGACAATAGGAGAGTCGTCGTCCTTGGGGACGCTGTCAGGTGATTCACTTGAGTGAATCTGCTTCATTCTGTTGACGCGAAATACACCGGATCACTGTTCCTCTCCCTCACCCCTGCAACCATTCCAATGACACTTCGACGTAGTTAGTCTCTTTTGTAATTGGTCTCAACCAGGACTAAGCCTCTCGTAACCTAAATGCTAATCAATTAAATGATTATCTTATTCATGCCTTTTATTGCTGTTCCTGTCTGGCGTAACTTTATTCTCGTTGAAATATTGAATATGAAGATTTTCCTTTCGGTAACTAATTGCTGCTGACTCAATTCCTAGAGTCAACTAAATTAAGAATAGATAAGGTGGCATGAACTAGAAGAGGCAGGAGTCGAGCTCCCAAGTGCAGCTCCCCTCTTAATAGAGACTAGGAGAAGAAGAGGTACAAAAAAGGGGAGATATTGAGTGAGAGGGGAAAATATTAGGACAAACAGGGGACGAGCGAGGAAGTAATGGAGACAAAGAGACTGGAATAAACAATGAGGTCCTCTCATGTAGGATATAAGAGGAAGTGAAGCGAGGGGAGGAGGAGAGGGGTAGTAGTGGTGGCAGTTGCATCGGCGACGGAGGTGACGATGGTGGTAACGGCGACGACCGAGGTGACGATGGTGGTAGTGGCGACGACCGAGGTGACGATGGTGGTAGTGGCGACGACCGAGGTGACGATGGTGGTAGTAATGATGGTGGTCGCGGTGGTAGCTGTGGAGGGCCAAGCATGGCAGTGGCTAGCAGGCAGGCAGGGAAGTGTGCCAGACTCAGTGTGTCTCCGGTCGTGGCAGGAGGCTGGTGTGGTGGCGCTCTCTGGCACAGTCGCTGATGTGAGTGTATGTGAGAGAGAGAGAGAGAGAGTCGCGGCGAGGCTGGTGAGCGACCTTATAGCTCCTCAATCCTTATCCTTATCACTTGTTTAACGATTTCATCTATGGGATGATAGTACCTGTGCTGCTCTGCAATATTTAAAGAAATTTCTTCTGACAAACGGCCTCGACAAGCAGTTTTCCAAGAGTTTTAGTAACGAGTTTCTTATTAGTCAACGGAATAAAGTAACAAACAATGAAATGCGAATATGTTTAGAATTTTTGAGATACATGGGTGTTGATGTATCTACAGATGAGACTCTGATGGATGAAATGAATCAAGGAATTGATGAGAGGAAAAAATAGTGGTGAGAAATCGATGAATATAAAAAATCAAGTAACTGGATCCCAAACTAGAATGTTTCAATCTAGGAATAATGTTTTTGTAGGGTTTATGAGTGCTGGAGCGAGGGAAGGAAGGCAGTAGAAGGGAGGAAGGCAGCAGAGGGGAGGAAGGCAGCAGAGGGGAGGAAGGCAGCAGAGGGGAGGAAGGCAGCAGAGGGGAGGAAGGCAGCAGTAGAAATATCTCCTCCGGGACCAATGTGTGGTGTTATATACATATTGTACAGGGAATGAGAAATGAAAAATAGAAAACAGTGTGACTGTATAATAAGTATATTTCAAGTAGCGGACGAGGGTTTAATTGAGATGATATGGTTGTTTAGAAAGAATGGAGCAAGAGCGGCTGATCAAAAGGGTGCATAAATTTGGGGTGAAAGGCAGAGGGCGTCTCAGGAAGGAATGAGCGGAAGGGGAGAAGCAGATTTCGGGAGATAAGGCATCTAGCAGGTATATATGTATATGCTCGTTAGATACGAATGAACGGACACTCGTGGCGTTTAGTATTTGACGCACTGTTGGAACGTGAACAAGTTAGCGAACAATGAAGAAGATATTCAAAGAAATCACCTAGCTAGGTATGAGTTAGACGAATAAGTTTATCTTATGCATTAAGGTAATTATATAATGAATTAATGTCATTAAAACTTCATTATACCAATATTCTAACAATGTGAATATATTAATTCTAAAAATGAAAAGGGCAACAAAATGCTGAGTCATTCATTGAGAGGTAAACAACGAGTTTGTAGAGTGTATATAAAAAATACAATATCTGCACTTTTGAAATTGAGTGGAGTTTCTGGTATTTGGTGGGTTATAAGGCAGGTATGGCGCAAATGATTATAAATGTGTTTCTTCTGTGATGGGAAACTATAAACGTGTTAATGTATTTATTTATCACTGGAGTCACACGAACTTGTGATATTCAATTTGAAGACAGAAATAGTATATAAACCTAACTCTCCAAACACATTATAATTAAATAATGCCACAGCATCAATTACATATTTTATACGGAATGTACTATGCCTGGGTGCTGGGTGCTGGGTGCTGGGTGCTGGGTGCTGGGTGCTGGGTTTTGGGTGCTGGGTGCCTGGGAGTTGGGTGCCTGGGTGCCTGGGTGCCTGGGTGCCTGGGTGCTGGGTGCCTGGGTGCCTGGGTGCTGGGTGCCTGGGTGCTGGGTGCCTGGGTGCCTGGGTGCCTGGGCGCCTGGGTGCTGGGTGCCTGGGTGCTGAGTGCCTCGGTGCTGGGTGCCTGGGTGCTGGGTGCCTGGGTGCTGGGTACCATACTTTAAGATTTTGGTCTAGCCGGGATATTACCGTATAAGTTCGTACCATTTCCAGGACAAACTATAAACAGGTGAAACAGTATGTGATAGGATATTATTTACCACGGGTCATAGCTTGCAGGTGAGGTCAGAACTCTTAATACCTGAGATCAGTAGCAGTGCCCTGAGAGCTTAACAAATCGTTGTTATTCGATGATACTGTGTTGAAGTTCCTCTCAGTCTGTCTGTCTGGTAGTTGGAAGGTGTCAGTCTTCGTAGGGAATTTTCCATATCCCTGGATTTTTGTCATCAAAGAAAGTGTGTAATCAATCTTATTTTAAGAAACAAACAGCTCACGGATTTATTCACTGGTTATTTCTTTTACGTTCACGATTGGCCTCTTATTTCAAGGTTGTTGACATTATTTTTTGCGTGAAACCATTGATTTGCATTTGTCAGTGAGTCCTTTAGGCATCAACCATCCTCCAACCCAACCGCCCACACCCCCCACACAACACCCACACCCACACCCACACAGTGGAAAGTATAAATATATGTACTTTGCATGAGAAGCTAGGCGGAATAAATACAATGAGAGAAAGAATGAAGCTTGCAAGTTTATGTATGAGGTGTTAGTACTGACGACAAATATAGTTATTAAAGAGACGGAGAACAAACTGAGCGACAGAATAATTAAGCTAAAAGAGAAGAAAGAGGAAAAGATATTTTGGCCAAACAGGAAATGAAAACCGTAAAGAACAAAGAAGGAAGAAGCAAGGAGAGTTATTAACAGAGATCACACAACTGAGAGATGATGAAGCTGATAAAGTTAGTTAGTTTAATATGTTTATTATGCACCCCATACCCATCCTGTGGGCGGTAGTCAAAAGATTACAGAGGTACATAATGGGTCCAGGGACTGGGCCTCAAAGTTTTGATAGCTGAGCAAGTTACAGAGGTAATGAATTCACAATTTACAAAGGTAATGAACTCACAATTTACAAAGGTAATGAACTCCAGGTAGGTCTAGTCACAATCATGACAAGTTACAAAGGTATTTACAGATTACAGAGGTACACAATGGGTCCAGGGACCGGGCTCCAAAGTTTTGATGGCTGAACTAGGTACAAGGTAATGAACTCACAATTAAAGGTTAATAAACGCACAAGTTACAAAGAGGTGATTAACGACCAATCGAAGGTTTAGACTGTGAGGAAATGCAAGAGAAGACTGGACTTGAAGACACGAGGAGAACAGAAGAGGATCACATTACTCATTCTCACCTGTTTTCTTCCTATGAACTTCAGTATTTACGAAAGGTATGCTCTCCGTTCGATTCCGAGTCGCTCAACATATGTTCAAAGAACGTTGAAATTTATTGTAATCTTTAGTTAGGTTGGATTGATAAGTCTAAGTAACGATCCTTTACATTTAATGACTCTACACATAATGAAGTTCAAAAAAATACTAGGTTGTACAAGCAACGCCGAACGTTTTTTGTTAAATCTGGAAATCATTTTTCCACGAACACTGAGTACATCGAAATAATGAAGTATAACCATATATCATCATTTCCACACGAGCAGGTGAAGTTATTTATCGCAATACACTCTCCACGACCTGGGTAACCAGCCTCAGACTCCTTCATCATTCCCACCGTGAATACTATTCTCATAAATATCCCCAGCACGCTCTGATGCCTTTTCAGGTAATCTATTCATTAATTAATCAACTACTTAAAATAAGAATGTTAACTCTTATCTACTACGTAACTGTACATCACTCATAAATTCATTTCCTCCACTTCGTCTCGATACACATCCCGCTTCCAGCCTCCTACAAACATCCATGAGTCAGGAGTATGAATCAGTTCCCCAGATTCATATGAATACACACAAAAAACCAAGAACAGGAGTATTATTGAAAACTTGACACTCTTGCGAATCAGAAAACATCTCTTTTTTCAACTTAAGAGAAGTAAAGAATGGAAGAAACTGAACAATCACACAATAGATATATCTCTGATATAGCTTTGAAGGGATTCGAAGGCTTTCCTACTGCCGCAGCTTGGCCCTGGGCCAGACTTGTCTGGTGCTTCCCTGGTCAACCAGGCTGTTCCTGCTGGCGGCCCGCTGGCCCACATATCCATCACAGTCTGGCTTGATTGGAAAATAGGTATCGATGGCGCATTTCACATCTGTCAGGGACGTTTGCTTAGCTTCCCTTGAAACAAATATGCAACTTTGCAAGCTCTTGATGATGTGTTGATTGCAACACGAAAGGCCTGTGGTTGTCTTGCACATATACTGGGAACAGACCGAGTCATGTGGAGATTTTTCAACAATATTTATGCGAGACATGTTTAGAAGAAAAAATATATAATGGCAGGGAGAGAAACCATCTGATAAGATAATCTTTAAGGCAGGGTAGGGGGGTAGGGGGGAGGGGCGGAGGGAGGAGGAGGAGGTGCCTTGATACTGGTGAAAGTCTCTTGATCCAAACAACTGGAGTTACTCCCTTTCTTCTTCGGATCTAACCTGATTACCACCCATTTCCCTATGAGGTGCAAGACCCCTATTGGTTTAGCACTTTCCCATGAATATAATAATAATAATAATAATAATAATAATAATAATAATAATAATAATAATAATAATAATAATAATAATAATAATAATGACAATCAGAAAAAATAAGGTTTCTTGCCCAATAGTTTCGTCCTGTCGTCATCTTCAACACTCTGCTTCTTCCCTCTTCCTCTCTCATCCATTCAGTAAGAATGAATAAAAGACAAATGTCACAGAGAAAGCTTTTATTGGGTCAACATTCCGCTCTGTGTAGAGCTTTATCAAGTCGTAGTCGCAATGAGACGACGACTTGTATCGTCTCTTCCTTGTTGTCGGCTGGAAGCTGCTGCACACTTGCCATTCCTCCCTCCATTCACTTCGACAATTCCTCTTTGCCTTCTTCACCGTCTCCACTATTGGTAGGGTCGTCAGTCACTTCTTAACTCTCCCTTCCCTCGTTTTCCCCTCACCCTCTATCAGTTTTCATTCTCTTCATTCTCCTTTCGTGGATCCTAACCCGCCAACTCATTCCGCCTACTCGTATTAACACCCATTGCTACATTATTTGTCCACTTCCACCCATTTCCCTAGAGCACCATGAAACTCACACTACCAAGCCTTCCATTCCCCTCCCTCCCTCGTTTACCTTTCCCCATCCCTTCCTTTCTCTCGAAACCTTTCTCCTCCGGTCTTTACACACCCCTCTCTCTCTCTATTCCAATCACCTACTTCACCCATTCCCCATCACCTTTCACAAACACCCACAGAAACCTTCCCATTACCTACTCCTTCCTCATCAACCACCTTTAAAACACACACACACACACACA